GCAAATCTTAATGAATTTCGAAGGGGTTGGATAGATGAGGAAAATTCAATCAGAAGTCTGAGAAAATCTAAAAGGTTTGTGGAGCATACTACTGTCCTCGAAAGGTGCGTTCAATGGTGTGCAGACAATTCCTCCAATTGCTCGATTCCAAATTTGGATATAAACGACATTCAACTGCTACAAGCTTTTCCAGAAACTTTCTAAGGGAGGAACGATGGATCTCTACTACCAGCTTTCTTACTACCCTCGTCTCTCTAGTCACTATCTGAGTACTGCTAAGTGGTATTGCATGCTATATATCACGTACGATCTGTTTATTGTATTTGTTTGTTCTAGAACTCTACTGTCATTCTTTCTGTTATTTTGGGCTGTGTAATGTATTCTTTTCTATTGTTCTTCATCTCTTTTTTTCTCCTTCTTTGTTATATACTAAGGTACTGAAAGGACCACACTGGTCATCAGTTATTTGCAAATAAATATAGTTACATTTATTATTTTATTTACAAGTTACAATGAAACAGGTAATTTTAAAGTATCAACACATTGCAAGTTCAGTTTCAGACAAAGTACCATTTTCATATCGTGTAAAATACTCCTTCAATTTATTATCACAGTTGTTGTAAACTTTCAGCCTCTCGTTTCATCAGATCCTTGTCATTGTTTCAATCATGAGTATTGTTTCTTTGCAAAAGCTTTTCCATTAAACAGTTAAATTCTATCATTGAGTAGACAAAATGACTTCGTTAAAATTAAATAGCTATTGATCCAGGTTTAGAAAAACGAACTAGTCCATATTGATACGTATCAATGTATGAATATATCAGCCATGTATCAGTTTCTTACGTTATCTTAATGACTTATATTAATATTAATTAGTACACCGTTGATAGAAAAAAATGAACAGAATGCTAGAAAATTAACGGGACGAAACGAGAAGATACCATTCAAAGCTGAAGAAATTTAAAATAGTGTGATATCTCTGCTTTGCTATACATTTTTTTTTCACAGTAGCGTGATCATTCTAATGACTTTAATGTCTTATTGATGGAAAAAAATAGAATATTCCTGATATAAAAAAGATCTTTTTAGCTATCTATTAATAGTTTGGTTTTGTACACATGAAAATGCGTGTTAAAGTCAAAATATTAAGGTATACGTTTTCTAGAAGTTTATTGAACACGAGAAATTTTTTTATAACTTTATAAGAAAAAAGTACTTAACTTTCCAAAAAAAATAAAATACAGACAACTTCACGGTCATCCTGACAGATATTGGTGAGAAAAAGATTGCTGGATACCGCAGGATAGACATGAAGAACAAAATCCTTTTTCTTTCAACCAACAAAATTCTGCCAGATCTCGTAGGAAAACACTTGTGGATTGAATAAGTCAAAAAGTCTTGTGATGTTTCTTACGTTTACGCAGAATTTTTTCCAGGTTGACGCTACATAAGCTATGCAGGGTTCTATCAGGGCTGGCAGTATAAAAATCCTGCGTAAAGGTAAGAAACATCGCCAGATATTTTAATACCGATAACCCGCGGGATCCTGCATGAATTTCGATTATTCTTTTCAGTAGGTAGCTGAGAATTAGGGGTGGCACTTTCTTTCCCAAAAAAAAGAAAAGTAAAAATTGACTTTTTCTTTTTTTGGAAAAGGAAAGTTTTTTACTTTCCGGCTTTCCTTTCCTGAAAAAAAAGAAAGAAAAGTACGATATAACTTTCTTTTGTATTTTTCTCGATAAAGAAACCACATTATTGCAAAACCAAGCCGATATTCGTGCTCGGCGTCGAAAACAGAATCAAGTGATGGGTTTTGCAAAAACTTGTCGAAAAACTTTTTTTTTCGCTAAATACATCACTTGATCCAGTTTTCGACGCCGAGCACGAATATCGGCTTGGTTTTGCAACAATGTGTTTTCTTTATCGAGAAAAACACAAAAGAAAGTTATATCGTACTTTTCTTTCTTTTTTTTCAGGAAAGGAAAGCCGGAAAGTAAAAAACTTTCCGTTTCCAAAAAAACAAAAGTCAATTTTTACTTCTCCTTTTTGGAAGAGAAAGAGAAAGTGCCACTCCTACTGATAATCGTCAGCCAAAGGAGTAGTATCGAAAAGTCGGTTTTTTTTTGATTTTTTTATCCAAAAGATGTCAAAATAAAGCCATATAACCATGTTTTGTGTTTTTTAGGTCAAAAATAGAAAAAACGACGAAAAAGAGCGTTTTTTTCAACACTTCGACCTAATACTGTAGACTAAGAAAGACTTGATCTCATGAGTGAGGTACATGAGTAGACTCAAATTTTCAGGCTGATTCTGAATACGACCTCAAAATCAAAAACAAAGTGTGGAAACATGAGCAAAAATTTAAAATACAGCGATATACCACTATATTTGACCTTTAGCAGCTGAATATATGTATTTAACCTTACTAAAAATTTCAAAAAGATTTTTTGCATGCCGTGTAGATCTCTGCCATCATGTTTGGGTTATAACTGAGATCTTCTCTTTCCAAATCCACTGGATGAGGCCTTTACGACAGAGACCGAAACTGGCTGCATCAGAGTTTTTTAGCTCTTTTTGTGCAATGAGTCCAGGACAGCGCGGAAGAGACACAATTTCAAAGTAATTTTCAGAGTATCAATCCACACTAAATCACAAAACTAGCTATCCAAATTCAAATTATTTTAAGTCTCTCCTCCTGGTCCATTTATTATTAATTGATCAGACACCTTATATTTGATGTAAGTTTTACAACTTAAGCCCAAGATACGATATTTAGGATATTCAAGATAACTGGGATGTTCAGGACATTTAGGATATTTATGATATTTAGGGTACTTAGCGTATTTAGAACAATTAGGATATTAACGATATTTACAATATTTAGGATATACAGCATGTTTCGAATACTTGGGATAATTAAGATATTAACGATATTTAGGATACTTAGGATATTCAGGATATTTAGGATGTTACAAACTCTAAAATAGAAACATATCCTACATATTCTCAACTTTCAACTTATCCCAAATATCTTAAACATCCAAAATATCCTAAATATTCCAAACATCACAAATAACCTCGATATCCTGAGTATTCTAGATATGGTTAACAGCTTACCTACAATAAATACCCTAAATATCCTAAATATTCTAAATATCCCAAATACCCTCAATGCACTTAATCCTCTACGTATTCTAAATATCGTTAATATCCTACTTAGCCTAAATATCCCAACAATCCTAAATATCCTACATATTCGAAATATCCTTATTCGCCTAATTATCCTGATTATCCCAGATACCCTAAATATCCTAAAAATCCTAAATATCAAAATATCCTAACTGCCCTAAATACTCCAGGTATACCAAACAACGTTAATTTCCTATATATCCTATACCTCCTAAACACCCTAAATATCCAACATACCCTAAGTATCCTGAACATCTCAAAAATCCTAAATATCCTAAATAGTAAATATAGTAAATATCCTGAACACCCCAAATATACTAAATATCCTACACGTAATAAATATCCTGATTATCCTAATTATAATAAACATCCTAAATACCCTGAACGTCCTATTATTTTAAATATCCTAATTATTCTGAATATCCTAAATAACATGGATATCCTAATTACCTTAAATATCCAAAATATCGTAAAGATCCTGAATATCCTGAATGTCCTAAATATACTAAATATCCCAAGTATCCTAAACATCCTGAAAACCCTAAATATCCTAAATATGGTAAGTATCGTTAATATCCTAATTATCTTAAATATCCAAAATATCGTAAATATTCTCGGAATTCGTAGCTTCTTAAATATCCTCAATATCCCAAGTATTCGCCACATCCTGAATATCTTAAATACCCCCAATATCATAATATCATACACGTCCTAAGTACCCTAAAAATCCTTTATATCCGAAATACCCACCATATCTAAAATATCCTGCCTATCCTAATCATGGTAAATCCCCAAATCTCGCAAATATTCTCGGTATTCGCAACATCCTAAATATCCTAAATATCCTCAACATCCTGTATATCCTAAATACCCACTGTACCCTAAATCCCTTAACTATCCTAAAAATCCTACATGTCCTAGGTGTCCCGAATAAGCTTAATATCCTAAATATCCCAAACAGCCTCAATATCATAAACACCCTAAACACCCGCTATATCCTAAATACACTGAATATTCTAAATACGCACTATATCCTGAATATCCTAATTATCCCAAATATTCAAAATATCGCAAATATTCTCGGTATTCGCAACATCCTAAAAACCCTCAATATCTCAATTACCCACTATATCCTAAATGCCCTAACTATCGCAAATACCATCGATATCCTAAATACCCACTATTATAGTGGGCGTTTAGGATATTGAAGGTATTTGGGATACAGTGGCACTATATCCCAAATACCTTCAATATTCTAAATACCCACTATATCCTAAATACGCTGAATATACTAAATTACCCACTATATCTTGAATACTGTAATTATCTTAAATATCCTCTATACCCTAAATGTGCTAAATATCCTATCTTTCGTAAATCTCCGAAATACCGCATATATTCTCGGTATTCGCAACATCCTAAATATCCTAAGTACGCTAATTATCCTAAATACCCACTATATGCGAGATACCCTACATATCGCCTTCCTACTGACCGAGGGGCTGCTGGAGTTTGTGTGACACTGGTGGCACGAATAGCTTCTTTTGTTTTTCTTAAGTACTTTTTGCATAGTAACATCAGTGATCACTAGACAACACAACATCTTGTCATTCGGTTTCATTAGATTGAGCTTGCATTCTGTAGGCTGTACCTGTGTCGCGAATATCGTTATTGTTTAATAGTTATTGTCCAACGACATTTAAATGTCACCTAATAGGCGGCACCTGCTTTCAGTGGGTTGCTACCTGTGATGATGTTTTACTTGCCTAGCATACACTAATTCTTGATATTGTTTACTTCCTTCCAGATTAATGTCTTCAAACCATATTCGACCGGCGGAAACAACTAGTAAACAGGCGAAGAATCGGAAAAAACGTGACAAGAAACATCTTCGAAATCAAACATTTCAAAATCAATATCCACCATTCGATGAAGCGAAGACGGCAATCATCCACCATATTAACAAAGAAAATTCCATCTCGTTGATCGATTCACTTATCGAAAAAGCGAATCGTACGTCACGCTACACCATTGACACCGAGGAACGAACGAACCGGCCCTCATTCAAATCGAGTTTGTCGATAAATCAACACCACGAACCGTTATTATCGTCGAATTTTTCCACTTACCACTACCATCGTCGATCTTATTCAACAGAATTCAAACCCTATTATCGACCATCTTCGATGACAGTAACGATTTTCTAGCATGGGGCAATGGTCCTCAAGAATTATCAGAATTCATTAATTACGGATTATTCCCATTGCCACCTAAAGACAATTTAGGATTCGAAGATCGAATACTGTCAACATCATTCGATATGAACGACGATCATAATGAATGTACATGTGATCATCGACCATATAAAGATCCATCACAAATTTGGTCGTTGCAGCGAGAGCCGTAGCCGTTGCATTAGATCGTTTTTTAGATAAATCATGTACAATCGGTGATTTTGGCTGCGGCCTCGATGATCGTTTATCATATCATCGATGTCAATATCGTCGACAATTATCTGAATATGCGGCGAACGACTGTCTTGCTGTCACCCAGTTGTTTCAAATAATTTCTCAAAGAACGACAACAGTGACTACAAGTAATCATGTATCGGCATCTGTCATAGTGCCTTCTGCCTCTGCTTTACTTTTAGATTCAACATCACCTCATCCAACGTCCTCATCACCGTCTCCTCATGAAACAAGAACAATTGGCATACAAACGAGAAAGATTCGTCAACGCTCATCCGGCGCAAAACTACGACACAACCAACGACGACGACAACTCAGAAAACCCGAACGCAAATTGAAGCGTTATCAATTCACAATTAAATTACACGTTGATTTTCGTTTTTCCTACGATGATATTATTCGCACAATAAAAAACATGCATCTCCATCAAGCAACTATTCGGGTCAAATATGGTCACGTATACATTGGATTCAGTAATCAACATTATTACGAACACGCCGATTCACGAATTGATCGCCACTTATTCTCCAGAGATCGATATCTCGACATTTCATTTAGGGAGGAGGACTGTTAGCGGCTCTCTCTGTCTCTCTCGATTTCGCCACTAACGCTAGACACTTGTTATCACTGTCTGTCAGTGGTTGGTCTTCTTTCCATTTTTAGTCACTCTCTCTCGTTGTTAGTAGATTCTCTTTTATGTATATATGATTGTGTTTTTATTCATGCTATTCATTCAAATATATCGTTAAACAGAGCGAAGTGTTTAGTCATGCTCGCACATACACATAGGAATCAGGTTTAGTCTAATATTTGGTAACACAGCATTATATCCCAGTAGTATTCTCTGTCCTTTGTGATTCCTACTTACGTGCTACAATATGCCTTAAATGAATCCCAACTTTCTCATCATGAAAGAGAGCAAAAAATACATAGTTTACCTATTGCAAGAAAAGAAAGATCAAATGGAGATTAATACTTTCTCGTCTTGCAGTGATATTTTTAAACCTGTAAGTCGTAAGACTAACTCATAAAACATTGTATCTTTCGATATCGAGTATTCCAAGAGCGCTTGTGTAGCAGCTTGATAATCAGATTCGTAAGACTTTCGATCAATGCTGGTAGGATTATTTCACATTGTCCATGCTTATATTAGTATGACAGTAGAAGGCTCTGATGCACTTAAGCGCTTCTTCTGTTCTGGAACTGCAAAAAGATACTAGTGAAGCATAAGTAAGGTTTCAATTTTTCTAGAGCGCTTCTTAATTATTCTATAGCAGAGAAAATCACAATTCAATTGGCTTTTTTATCGGACGATTGGGAGTTTCACATAGAACATTTTATACATAAAAACATCGCAAAAGATTTTGCCGTGTGAAACCCGTGAAATTAAAAAGTTTGGTTGAACAAGTGGTAGATTATGATGTATACTTTTATTTAAAACCAATTAGAGATCTGTATCTGCTAGACTTAGGAATTTTGTTGAGGCATGATTTTGGGTCATTCCTGGCTCCGTAACGCCCGACAGGAAAACATGATTGTTTGAAAAGTTTTATATTCTAACTAAAATTAGGAGATGTTTATCTTGATTTCCTGAAAGTTTTATCGAGATTATAACTGTACTTGCCACACCCTCATGTTTAGAGTTGGAAAAAGAGTTATAGTTATGAGGTATAAACGAGATCTGATTCGCTGTTTCGTTTTTTGAGGTTGTTTTTGACGAGAAATGAAATAATCAAGACTGTTCAAGTGGGATGGCGTAAACACTCATAAAACATCAAAGCACAATATTTTAATACAAATATTTTTCTGTTTAATCAATTTTTTAGAAACTGGAAAGGCATAAGGAATGTGTGCGTGGATAATCCGATCAATCATTATCAATCTGCTCTATCATAATTATGTTAAAATGCATTTTATGATATACTTTGTTTGCATTTAAATAACAAAGTACAACTTACCTCTCTTTTATTCTTATTATATACACGTATCGTATCCAACAGACTTTATCAGATGAAAAAAGAATAATAATTATACGATAGTATAATTATTATTCATTAACAGATTTAATTAAACATCGTGCAAACGTTATATATTATGCTCTACGCAATGGAATTGGGTTCAAAAAAGTTTGAGATGATCATTGAGCATATGTTCACGTGGCTCTCGTGCAGTGACTCTGAGGAGGGTTCATTCATCAAGCAATTCCATTCAGAAAACAAAAATAACAAAAACTTAGACCGTTATGTTTTTTTCTCTTCATATAAGTTTAAACTTTTTTTTCTTTTCTTTACGTGCATTTTAGTGTTAGTCTTCTTTGTTACTACATTGATTGATTGATGCACTTTTTTTCAATCATAAGACAGATTACAACAATATTACGCTTTTTACACGGCGACTTAACGGTAAACCTTGGTTGGCCTTGTAGGTGAAGATTGCAGTAATTTAAGTCTCATTGTGTTCCTCGACTATGCAGAGGTTCTGGATAAGGTCTAGTCCACTGTGTTTCGTTAAGGTGCATCAGATGAAGTACGGGGGTGGCGCAGATGTGAACACGTACTGCAGAACCACATACTATAAACTACAATAGTATTTTTGTCAAGTATACTTGATTATTCATGTTTCTTTCGATAAAAAGCATCAACAACTATTATTAAGTATTACTGTTTGCAGATGTATCACTTTATCCTAACTAGCGTATGCCGTTAAGCAGTTCGTCTATACTGCAATAGACAATTAATGTCTTCGTAGAATAAAATACACGTCTCATCATGAAACAATAAAGTATAACAGTTTTGCAATTCTTCTCTTCCAACTTCTTCTTCCAACATAAGATAAGCTACTCGTACTATTGGCACTGCTTGTAATGTTTGAAGCTACTGTGGTGCCTATCGCATTTGAAATCCCTATAACAGACGTTAGATGTAAAATATAATGTACAAATGTAACTATATGTGAAATTTCAAGTATCGTCAGAGTCGAATGTTTGTTTTTCGTCAGTTTATATATCCGGAAGACTTAACTTATCAGAAAGAAGCCAAGATTCTAGCAACTAGAGTGTATTAACATTTTTTTGACGTCATTAGACCCTTTCGTTTAGACATTTTTATCACTATCTTATTCAAAGATAAACAAAATATGCTCTATTTGAATTAAGATAGTACAATATAATATGAGCCTAAGCAGCTCTCTATTGTTTAATTGTACGTCATCTTGTTGGAAAATGTTGGAATTATATATTTTCCTGAAGTTCTTCTTACCTGAGCCACAAGGGTCTGTATACAGAATGATATCAGCCAAACGTTCTAAATATAGTAAGAAAATACAAAGTTAGATGGCGACAAGTGACTTTTAGCTGTGAAAATACAAAGCAAAATATTAAATAATCTCTAATCGAAAATACAATAACGATCCAATCTCTAAGGCAAATGAAGAAATATATATAAAAGCTAACTCACCATAGTCTAGTACGATATCGTGATCATAACTTATCAACATCAAATGCATCAAATTTCCACCTTGCTTTGCAGAGCAATTAACCCGATATTCAGATATAACATCTATTGTACCCAATGTATTAAGAACATCATCTATTCGACGCACTTCAGACCGCACAGTGGGCATCTAGGGGGACATTAGGTGAAAAATCGAAGTTGCTGCTTTTTCAAAAACAAATAGTCTAAAATGTAGCCCTTGAAAAGGGCTATCGAATGGTGTATAAATGTCTATTGTGATGTTCACTCCTTCGCAGAGAAAAACGGGTACAAAACAGTACTGTGTTATACTACTTTTAGCGACATCTTGAGAGTT